ATATTAATTTAATACTGGAAGAAATTGTAAGCCAGGAGTTCTAAAGCAAAAAATAAGCAGATTTCTTAGTTTCTTTTAATGAAATCAGCCATAGCAAGGCAATTGTGGTCTCACGTGGCCAAGTAGAAAATTTCCCTACTGTTCAATGACAAGGAGAGAAAGTCAATGTGTGGGAAACTAGAACATTCATGAGGAAGGAGGAGTGTAATGAGAAAAAACATAGATGACGTAAGATGTGATGGGTTAAATTGGAAGGACAAAAGTAGAGGTGAACAAAAATGCATCAGGAAAATAAAAGAGGAAAAAAAAGATAGAGGAAAAATACACTTAATGTTCAATTTATGGGAGAAGACAGTCATTCTCCAGAGACAGAATCCTTTACTAAAAGCAGTCGTTCTGTAGAAGAAAAATCAGTTCTGGGGAGGAGTGGTGGTGGATGGGGGTGAGTGTCACAGTGGCTGGGTATCTCTGCCTGCTAAATTCAGCCCAAAACGATGAAAGAAAATAGTGGTTTCTACAGCTGATAAGAAGTTACTGCAAAATGAGGAAGTCAGGAAGAGAAACAGGAAGGAGTGAGAGAAGACCAGAAAATTAGTAGTAAGTTTACATGGTTTAGAATTTTTATTCTACGAGAATGAATTAGATGGTGCTACAGGCGTGGAGAGGAGTGGCTAGAAAGGACCTGGGGGTGTTGGTTGACAGTGACTGAATGTGAGCCAGCAGTGTGCCCAGGTGGCCAAGGCCAACGGCATCCTGGGCTGTATCAGAAATGGTGTGGTGAGCAGGGGAAGGGAAGTGACTGTGCCCCTGTACTCAGCACTGGGGAGGCCGCACCTCAAATCCTGTGTTCAGTTTTGGGCCCCTCACTACAAGCAGGACATTGAGGCACTGGGGTGTGCCCAGAGAAGGGCAACAAAGCTGGTGAAGGGTCTGGAGAACAAGAATTATGGGGAGCAGCTGAGTGAGCTGGGATTGTTTAGTTTGGAGAAGAAGAGGCTGAGGGGAGATCTTATTGCTCTCCACAGCTACCTGAAAGGAGGGAGTAGAGAGGTGGGGGTTGGTCTCTTCTCCCATGTAACCAGTGACAGGACAAGAGGAAATGGTCTCAAGTTGTGCCAGGGGAGGGTTAGATTGGATATTGGGAAAAATTTCTCTACTGAGGAATGGTCAAGCACTGGAAGGGGCTGCCCAGGGCAGTGGTGGAGTCACCATCCCTGCACATGTTAAAGAAACGTGCGGATGTGGCACTTGGGGTCATGGGTTAGTGGCCGTGGGGGGGTTGGGTTGATGGTTGGACTTGATGATCTTAGAGGTCGCTTCCAACCTTGATGATTCTGTGAATAAAGTAAAATAAAGCAATGATCCATTTTGTATCCTGAGATGGGAGCTGTGGGACTGCCATCACAGCTGGTCCCATACTCACTTGTTCGGCTTTGCAGAGCAGCTGTAGGAAGCAGGGAAAAACCCCAACTACATAAAAAGTTGCTGTGAGGAAGGCTGACATCTGGTTTCTTTCCTGTCTCTCAAGGTTAGCAGGATCTGCTGCTCTGCAGGATCCCCTGCTTTGCAGCGAGGGAGAATTGCGTTAAAAGGGCAACAGGCTGCCTGGGGTATCTGGGAAATGTCCAGCATTGCAGGGTTTAGTGGGTGAGTTAGAAGACCCGCTCTCAAGAATGGTCTGGGCACACTTGAGCCTCACTCGAAGCAGAGGGGAGCAGGTGGAGGATGCCTCACTGCCCCAGTTCAGAGCCGTCTGCTGTCCCTGCAGGCAGGTGGAGGAGGCAACGCTTAGACACCCTGTCATTGAAAGCAAGGCATTCTTAATTTGCGGTAAGTCCACTGATAAAACCCAGCATTAACAGCATGTAATTCAGATACCGAGTTCATTTATAATGGAAATAATCTGCTTTTCAAATTGGGAAGCCTGTTTTTGATGTAGCAAAGCAAGCAATGCAGTGTTTCCAGTTTCCAAATTCCACATTGTCTGTCCAGCCAAATCTGCATCTGGAAAGTACAAGCAATTCAAGCAAACATACCTTGGCATTACGGCTACACAGTTCTTTTAAAAAACAGGCTTCCAATTACATTGTTTATCTCACTGCCTTTGGCAAGAAACAGCTTCTTTTTTACTACATTGCTTTAAAATGGTACGGTTTTTCCAGTTATATATTATTGGCAGGATAGAAAGCAACTTCTGTCAAACCTTCCACAATATTTATGGGTTCAAAGATACACAGGAACTGAAATCCTAAAATACAAAATAATTTTGGAATGAAAATTTGTGAACAAACTGTAGGCTAAAACTACAATTTGCCTTCCAGGGGCAGAGGCTTCCGCATGCACGATTCCTCTGAGATGTCACCTGTGTGCACCAGATGTTCTTCTGTGTTCTTCATTATTCGTAAAACATCTTCCAGTGTTTGCAAAACATTGTATGAAACCGTGCCCAAAAAGCTGCTGAATTTCAGGGTTGGAATGCTGTCTTTTGCCACAAGCCCCAGGGCTGTTTCACAACAAGGCAATGTCTGTTTTGCAGACGTTTTTAAAGCAGAGCCTTAGAAACTTTGCAGCCATGCAGGCAGTGAGGGCTGCTGGCCCCACACTGCTGATCCCATCAGCCTGGAATGTAGTTAAAGGACAATCTCCAAAAACCCCCTCATATAGCAAGGCTGCTTGTTTCCCATAAAATAAAAAATGAGAGAAATTATGAGCTAACACTGCTTTAAACGTCATACTCTTTACAAAACACGTTGTTCAAGAACACTGTCGTTTGTGGCTGGGTAGAGTGTGTATTTTAGAATGCTGTTACTGTGCGCATGACATTTGTTGTGTTGGGTGATGCCACTACTTATTTCGATTTGGAAGCCGTAGTCTGTGTGCCCATACCAACCTGTAAGCTGACAATCTCAGTTTTATTTAGATCATTCACATAAATCTTCAACAACATTTTAAAATAACAAACAAGTACGCACGCTCTCATCTTCAAAGTGTAATTATTTCGAGGTAAAGTATTTGTGACATCCCTGCTAACAGGTAAGGGCTTTAACTGCATGGTTTTCTTGATGAGAGAAATGTATCAAAAATATTTGGAAGAGGATAATTTGCATAGTTGGTTTTTTTTTTCTAGAATACCTTTTTCTAGGGAGTTACATCTATTGACCAGCACACAACAGGGTCACTGGTTGACTCAAGCCTGTAACTTTTCTTATATTGCCTGAAACAAGATCAAAACAACAAAAATTTGTGATAAAAGAGCCAGAGGGCAGGCCCAGAATAGACCTTACGTGTGCAGCTGGTGCCAAGAGGCACCGTGCACTCACAGCTGGTACCTCTCTGCTCCTAGGGCTGAAGGCAGCGATGATGGGGACGCACAGACAGTGAGCAGACACTGCACGCTCACAGCACTTCTTCCACATCACAGAAACTTGCTAAAAGCAACAGAAATGTAAAACTTCTTTTTCATGGTAAACCCAGTTGAGGAAAGGCCCTCCCTTTGTCCACGTCAATGAAGCAGCAGAACCTTACTTTATTTTGCACTTTTTATACAGACTGCAGCCCCAAGTTATGATTCCCTCCCCCCGTCTATGAAACATGAGCCTTGAGCCCTGCACCATCACTTAACAAGCAACAAATTCAGGCTGTTGGGGAAAAATTCAAGCACACGTTTCTATTATTTACACCAAAGAGGTGTACTCTTATGAACACTCCCTTAGTTCCATTTCTTTCAGTCTCTGGTATTAGCTGATAAAATACATCTCCAAGAATGTGCACTGCTCACCCTTATCCATGGCTGTTGGAAAGCTCCCTTAATAAGTTAAGAAAATCCCAGAGTTTCAGCTGTGAGCTCCTGTTACCCCTAACTCTTTCACAGAGCGATTCAGCCTTGCTCTGATGGGCTTTCACTCTTTTTTGGGGTGGTTTTAGCATATGCAGCCTCTCCGTTTGCAAAGTTTTTGAAACTACTTCAACTTTAGTCCCAACAGGATTTTTGGAGCCGAGATGTTCAGGACCAGCTGGCTTTTATTTTCTAGCCTTGATTCTTTACAGAATCACAGAATCACAGAGCATTAGGGATTGGAAGGGACCTCCAAAGCTCATCCAGTCCAATCCCCCTGCCGGAGCAGGAACACCCAGATGAGGTTACACAGGAAGGCGTCCAGGCGGGTTTTGAATGTCTGCAGAGAAGGAGACTCCACAACCTCTCTGGGCAGCCTGGGCCAGTGCTCTGGCACCCTCACTGAGAAGAAGTTTCTTCTCCAATTGAAGTGGAACCTCCTGTGTTCCAGCTTGTGTTACAGTTTTATGTCCATTATTTAGAATCCATTTTTGACATCAAATTAATTTGCTGCATAAATTATGTCATTCCACAGCACTGTTGAGGTTAAGCCCAACTATTATTTTGGTCTTATTTTCTCATTTTCTAAACCTGTAATAATCTGTTTAGCCTTGTTGAAAAGCACTATGTTATGTTTCCAGGATGAGACCTCTCCACAGCACAGAGTAGGGTCTGGATTGCTGTGCAGTGAAAGGTGATGTTAAATGTCTGAAATTAATAAATTAAATGTAACGTTTCTCTAGAAACCCCCTGAAAAAAAAAGCTGCCTTGCCTGCCCACTGATATTCATGAGAGCTTGTCAGGATCTAAGACAGTAAAATCCAAGTAAAGGCTATGACGTGACTCAAAACATCACTGAAGAATCCTAGTTACAAGGTCATCCTTCTCTGCTAAGTAAGTCCATCATGGCACTTACCCAGAACTCCACTGACTTTATCAGAAAAACGGTCAGTGTTCAATAAATACAGCCCAAGAAAAACGTCTGGACACTTTACAAAGGAAATTGTTACTATGACTGTATCGGACAATGATGCTGTAACGCTCCTTTCCTTTTCAACTGCGACACTGAGCCTAGGAAGAAAAGTATCACATTATTTCCCAGAAGAATATGAAGAAAGAATACGTGTTTAACTATCTGACATTAATCAATTAACACACTTTAATTATTGCCCTTTGCCTATTTGCAATTGCATTTTTCATGATCTGTTGGTGGTTATCTTTAAGCTAGAAAATAGGAAGTAGCATATCTCTTCTCTCTATGCTGCACATCCGATATTTCCTATATCAGGTTACATGCAAATATAGGAACAGAGAAGAACTTCTTGCTGATGAAAAGACCTTTTTATCCATCACAAGAAATGCTTGGATAGTAAAAAAAATATTTTTTTTCATCATTTCAATGAGAAAAAAGCTAGACTAGATTCAATCTATTTATTCTAGTCTAATTCAATCTATTTTATGAACAAGTCCAGTATTTCTTTCTTGGATATTTCACGAGTTTTTTCAGACCCTGCCTTTCTTCTAACCCATTAATTTTATTTGGGTGGCAGGTGGGCTTGCAGAACACAAACATCCACTGTCATGTTTCTCTCCTGCAGATCAGGGCACACAGAAACCACCCACATGCGCTGGTGTACAAAGCACTACGGTTCAAGGGCTGGGGTGCCCGTGTGAAGCAGGAGGACCATTCTGCTTGGTAGGCGACAAATTATAAGAGAGGCATAAATCCAGCATGCTCTTGGCTCCGCTTCCATTACACAAATAATTGAAAGCAGTTGTTTTAGGAGCTCTGTTATTGTCTAGAAGTGCTTACAAGGGAGGGAATGCTGTGTGTCCTGTCTACCTCAGACCAACAGCAGATCCTCCCAGAGCTTTATTTTGGGAGGCAAAAAAGCCGGTGGAACGAGCTACATCCAGCTCTTTAGTGGTAGCGAAGGATCCTGCTCTAATTAGCCCGACAAATGAAGTCTACATTTAAAATACCCTTTCTCCAACAGTGGGCACTTGGTTACAGACAGATATTCAAGCACTTCATGCCTTCCCATAAAAAATGTCAGCTGCCCAGATGTGAGTTATTGCTAAAACCGAGGAGAAATAAAACTTCAGCCTGCGTGGAGCCAACTGATGTATAAAAGAGACAGTAAATGTCAAAGCCATCACTTTGCAGTACGCGCTCTGCGGCTGGAGGAACACGAAGTGCCTGGCAGCAGCCAGCACAACACACTGCAAGGGCTGCTGTGGGTCCTTCTCTGTGGAAGGTAAACGTTCTGCCTCTGATACTGAAGCAGAAAGGCAGGCTGGGGATGCAGTTGTTTTGATTTTATTACACGGGTGTGGAGAATTAAAATCAAACCGAACAAAAGCAAATGTGAAAGCAGAGGCCTGGATGAAAAAAGAGATGTAACACGTTCTCAAATTTGGGAAAGGATGGGGTGACCCTTACTCCTGGATGTGGAGCTGGCCGACTCTGTCCACGGTAGCTGAGTGCTCTCATTATTGAGGCTTAGGAGGATCCCATTTGTGGAGACGTGGGTTTGCACAGGAGGATTCACATAGTTAATGTCAAACTGCACAAAGTGCCTTATTCTGTCTCCAAGTTTCCCCATCACAGTGAGTCCTTTAATGGCACAAACTTGTTCAGTGACTGCACCTTTAAGATACAAGGGATCTTAATAAAGCTGCTTCAGCTTTGTTGCTGAAACAACTTCAGGGTCTCAAATCAGTTTTGGGAGGCACAGTACTCTGGATGGGAACCATAGGTTTTAAGGTCTCTGCATCCTCAGAAGCCCCCAAAGGCTGGGCAGGGGAAAAGCCTCCAGGCCACGCATGTGACACAGGAGGAGAAGGAGGTGACCCACAACCAGACCTGTGAGAAGTGCCCTCAGCTGTTGCACGGTGAAAGTTAATATTGCCTAACAGAAAGGAAAAATTAACGACAGCCTCTCTGGCACTGCACGGCAGCAGGTCCGACATGGCCCTTTCCTTCCCGAGACACCAACTGCTCCCACAGACCAAAGGGACTCTCCCTGTGCTTGGTGTCAGGCGTAAGCTGGCTCGCTCACCTTGCTCCAGATCTGACAGCAGGTGTGAGAGGGCTGTGGGTTTCCATTAGTATTGAAACAGATTATTTCATTTTGTTCGGGTAATTGCAAGAGAAGCTGTGGATATTCGTTGGCTGAAAATCCAGAAGAAAAACGTTAGCGTTCAAAGGAAAATCTAGCCTGTGCCCTCTGGATAGGCACAGCAAAATTACTGGAACAGTTTATTCCTACAATACTAGCTATAGCTTTTATAGAATGGAATTCTATAACCCACTCTATAAATCAACACAGTAATAATTATGGAAAAGCAGACCCAGACACAGCATCTTGATACAAATGAAAACAATGGATTTTTAAACTTAGAGTTTATTAAGGACAATGAGCCCGTTAAAAAACGAGGCTGGAGCTCTGTTGTGCCGTATTTCTGTTGATGGTTGTATCTCCAAGCCAGAGAGGCTTTCTCATGGGGCATGGGGATATTTTTCATTTTTTGGGAAAGCATCACCCAAGGTTCGTAAGAAGAGGTAAAGGGTTTTCATAGAGGTGATGCAGTCAGAAAAAATGATTGTATGAAAACAGTTATATTAATTATTAAAATGGGACTGGTGTATGTAATACTTACCAAGAGGCAGTGCTCTGATTTTCTCTTTTAGCCTGAAAACTGAAATATTTAAAGTTAGCAAGAAGAGTTTAATGAAACTTTTTTCTCTAAGTTGGCTCATTAACCAGGAAGAATGCTGTGACAGAAGCCTTTTTAGCAGAGCTCTTTGCTGACTTCTAGAGAGAGCTTTGCTTACAACAAGCTGTCCCAATGGGGAAAAAAATGCCCAATGTCCAGTGCCTATTTCTGTTAAGATCAACCATGTCACTGGGGCATGCTCGGCCTGTGCTGTGGGAGGGTTCAGAGCTGTGTTTTAAACGGCTGCTATGCAGCACTGAACCCAGCACGCTCACCCCAGCTCCTCTCACACACGACTGAATAACTACCTACTGGTGACAGCATTGTGTCACTGCCAGACTGGGGCTTAGAGCACCATCAACCTGGAATAAAACGTTTTCCCAATGTTTCGTTGCTCTGGGGCCATGCCTTGGATCTCCCCACCCTTTAAACCAAGGAATCCCTCCTGCTCAGTGCCCACTTTTTTTTGGATACAGCCATGAGTGCAAGCATGTGGATTCTATGCAGGCAGCAGCCAGCACCTCTGCTCTGCACTATGGAGCTCATGTCGACACCGTGCTTGGTTTCTGCAGTGCCCTCAGATTTCCTCCTCACAGGACAGGCGTTTGCACCATGCAGATGGCTGTATCCCACCACTGGCTTCCTGCAGCAAACCCCAGGCCTAGTAAATTTGTTTAGCTTGTTTTACACCCACTTCCTTCACCTTACTAATACGTGCTTTTCCACATCTTTCACATTTATTTTCAGGAAGTGTAATATTTTTTTATTTCTGAGAAGGGACCAAGATTGTTTTCAAAAGTTTATAGTTCATTATCAAATATCTGTGGACTGAAATACATATAAAAACTAAACTGCATCAAGTGGGCATCCGCAATCAAAATCTATTTATTAAAATAATATTGCTATGAACCTACATATGAAATGAACTTTATCAAATTATTCTGAATAAAAAGAAAGGACAAGCACTTACCAGAAGGTGATCTACTCCTCAGTCTAGAAGCATCTGGAAAAAGAAAAGAGAGTATCTGTGTTTTATTCATGATTGTATTACATACCTCATGGGAATGCTTCGAACATCAAATCTCTAATTCCCCAGCTGCATCTGCCTTCCCTTCCCAAAGTAAACCAGCTGCAGTAACAAGTCCCAAGTATGAGGGCACTGGGCATGGGAGGAGCTGCAAAGGCACCAGCTCCCTGTGGAGCTCCAGACCAGCACAGGCCCCCACAGCACGGCCCCTCTGCAGTGCTGCAGCCCCAGACAAGAGCTGTTACAAATCAGATGAGCCCAACATGAGATACTGCAACACTCAAAAGAGCACGTCAAAACCTCCCCTGGTCCCAGTAGCCCAGCCACCCTGTTTGCTCCTTTGTCTCCCTGGCTGCTCCAGCCGTGCTGGTCCATCACGACGGAGAGCAACGGTGCTCAGCAATGCTCTGGCGGGCACCAACCCCAGTTCCAGTGGGGACATTCCAGTGCCCTCAAGCAGCCGTGCCTGCCTGACCATCACACCGACAACAGGGCTCAGCTACGAAAAGAGGTCATGCTGCAAAGTGGCTCCAACTGTTTTCCTCTTGCAGCCAAGGGAGCCTTGAGGGAAGTGGCCCTGCCGAGCCTTCGCATGCCCCTGAGGAGGGCAGGATGGTCGCTGGGCCGTGGCTTCTGCTCAGGGAGCTTTCTGCTATTAAACTCCCAAATGCCACTTTGAAACATGTAACCTTCAGACAGTGGGGCAGCATTATAATTCCCTCAACACACTTCTGTGGAAGAACTAGAGCAAAACCAGGGCTCTTCACCTATAAAAGCACTGGTATTATGATGGTTAATAATGTTGGAAGTTTAAAATTAAAGTTCAAACAGATCTATTATGTCCAAAAAGAGAAGAAAAACCACCTAAATCATCCCGACAGGTAATTGCAAAATATATTGAGCTTCCTTTTCTGATAGATGCTTCGCATGTGGTAGGAAGAAGCAGAAAACATCATTAGCACCATTCACTTGAAGAACTACTTTTCCTCATAAGCAAAGACAACTCTGGCCTTTGAGACTTTCTGAATGGAAGATTTTCTCCCTTTGACCCTGTTATCCACCCAAACCCCGCACGGACCTTGGAAGTTCATCGCTTGTATTTAGCTTCACATATTTCTCCATAGCTCTGATTCTTCCCTCTATAGAACAACCACCATGAGCTGTTTTGATTTTTTTCTTTCATTAGAGACCATTATGGAAATATGCTACTGGAAAAGAAGAAAACATTTCCCTCCTACTGCAAATCTGCTGAGCTTCTCGTTGTCTAACAGGAGGAAGAGGGACAGATTAGCATCATACAGTCAACACTGAAAGACTTTACACATGTGCAAACCAGAAAGCTGGGACAAGTGGGTGCTGAGCTTCAGGTGATGAACTTTTCTGCTGTTGACACCTAGCAATTCCTCCCCTGCCTTCATTTTTCCACTTCAATGCTACAGGGAAAAGTGCAGAATCCCTTTACAGTGGCAGGCATGCTGAGTAACAGCTGCTGAATTACCTTTCGTTAATGTGTAAAACCAAATTATTTTCTATTTCAGTAGTAGTGCCCATTTCACCTTTAAAAGAAAAAATCCGGTATGTTTTATTTTGAAAGGAAGCTAATCCCTGAAATCCTGCCTCTGATGCTGCTTGTTACCACATCACATCACTATAAAATAAATCCATACTGCAAGTCAACAACAAATCATCAATAGCAGCAGCGTTTTCAGGGGCTGTTCATGCCCCACTTACCAGCTTCGGGGGTTTGTTTGCCAGCTCTGCCCGCTGCTGGCCAGCAGGGTTGGTGAGCACCATGGAGGTGAGTAGTGTGATGAAGCTGCACTGCAGAGACAGCTCTAAGGCTTGTGCCTCCAAGGTTTTCTGATCATTTTTGTGCGCTGAAATACTAAAGTCTGTGCTAATGATGAAGAAATAGCATACAGAGGCTATGAGCTGGTCATCTTCACATTCTTTTTCATGTTAGCTGTATCTTAACAGGTATTTTGTTGTTGAAGGGTAAATAGTCTTATTGAGATAACTCAGTTGTTCACATGCTTGAAATTATGGAGATGCTTAATTGTTTGCAACAGTAGAGCCTGTATATGGTTCAAATATATAAAAATAATAGATACACGATCTATGAAATGTCTTATGGACATACTTATTGTTCTTTTTACTAGCTATTGCCATTCACTTTTCTACAGACAATATTTCTTGATAAGTAACAGCAGCTCAACTCAAACCATGCAATTAAAATCTATTTCATAGTACATAATGAAAAATATTTTATACTGTTTTGATATGCATACACACACATACATATGCACACAGACAGTTAATGAAACAGCACTATCATAAACTGAAAGGCACCTCATGTTCCTCATACAGCACTGTAGTGTTCTTCCAGTGTAGCACGTTTGTAACATTATCTGCAGATATATTTCTGTTTCTTTGTGTTTTCTAGTAGCATGATTTGTGACTAAGGAATTTGTGTTTCAAGAAGTTAGAAATTTCTAATACGAAACATTAAAAGAGCTTATGATTTTTCTAGAAGCTGCTGAATGGTTAAGGAAGCCCACAGTCTCTCTATGAAATTTCCAAAGACGTAACTTTGATTTTGAAATACTTGCTCCTCTCTTTGTTGTCTGCTCCTTCTTTAAGAGTCAAGTCACGAGCATGCTGAAGTGGGAGACCATCAAAAGAACAGTTCCAGACTTCTACAGCCACATCATTAGACTTAAAAGAACATCTTTCAGTACCAAAGTGCCCTTTTTGTCCTTCAGCTTTGTCCTTTCCCATTGGAAAATGCAACTCCAAACTACCAAAGCAACATATATTTTGGATATATGTTTCTTGACTCAAAACAATGTTGAAAAAAGGAGGCAATGAAATTGTTCAATTTCAGCATTTTTGAGATGAATAATTCAGATTTTTTTTCTTCATTCTAAAAATACAAACCAGTTTCCTAAAAACGCTTGAAAGGCCGAATTATTATGGTTTTGAAAGGATTAAAATTAATCCTTTGCTTCTTTGTGGATGTACTTCAAGGTTTTTCTTTTACTGCAAATTCAGGAGGGGAAAATTGTTTTAATTCTCAACTATTTTCCTAAAATGGGAAAACAGCTGAAGGCCCAAGTGTAGAGAACATACGCCGCACACAAAAGACTTCCTGAAGTCTCCTATTGCACTGTTACAGGCATAAGAAATTTTAGCTGGCTAAAGTAGGCTTTTGTGTTAAGCGGTAGAGCTAAAAGAACACTTTGACCTCTACAAAGTTAAGAAGAATGGACCATGGTAGGAGATGTGTACACAGGTGCTTAGGACGGGTATAAGAAGAATGGGCCATAACTTTTCTTTTCTCTCTATGTCAAAAATCATATGGGGGTAGTTCAATGTCTTATGCGGGGTGATAGCGGGGAACCAATCAGGGTGAGGGGTATAGTAAAAGGTGATCATTTTATGCATGCTCGAATGATTTTGCTGTTGTTAGGAAATGAATAAATAGGCTGTGAAATTGTATGGGCGTTGGAACACACCTTTGAGGGGCCACCCTCTGTGTCTCCCCAGCGCTGCAAATAAAGAAGTGCCTGCTTATCTGCAACTGCGTAGATCAGTTTTTCTCGTCGTGATTGCAACCCCATCAACAGCACCATAAGAGACAGAATGGAGCTATGGTTTTCACAGTTAGTAAACTAAACACTTACGGACTGAGCTTTAATTTCAACTGGCAAGAGATCAAGCTCATTGCTGATTTTTCCAGATACGATAAGTTTGGATCCTTCAAAAAAAAGCTTGAAATTGTTCTTGGTTAATCCCTCAGTGGCATTTTCTGGATACTGCATTTCAATTTTCATTAATAGTGAGGTAGCCACCTCTTGATAAAAGCCCTAAAGAGAAGCAGAGAGAGAGCGAGCGCGTGAATGACTGCAAAGTTATGCAAAGCAATACGTTGAATGTCTAAAACTCCCCTAAAAATAAGGAAGCAAAGCTTTTTCTTCAGCAGTACAAGACTGCTGCAGACCTAGGGGAAAAAAATAAAGATTCTTCCCAAGGTTCAGCACACCTTCTCCAGCCAGGCTGGCAATGCCATGTGAAGTGTATTTCCCATGGTAATCCAAGTACCCAAGCAGCATCCCTATTAACTCCATCCCACCCAGTTCAGTGTTTTGCTTTAGCCACTTTTCACATCTAATTTTTTTAAACTTGGCTAATGTTGAGGATTAATATTTCTCTTTCTGGACTGAGGCTGGCGTTAAGGAAATCCAGTCTTTGCACACTCAGCCAAAACAGGTAGAAGTGGCTTCCCAAAGAGGAGAATTTCCCCAAAGTTATAACCCTTCTCCAGATGAACAGGAAAGATCCAGGCTGGTGGCACTGCAGAGCCAGATTGCCTGTGGGTGCCTCAAACTACCTGCTGATTTTTACAGAAAGCATAACAAACAACTTCCAATGGTGGTACTTCAAGTGGTTTGAAGTAGGACCCAAGCAGTTTTTGCACCATCACCTTCCCTGGACAATTTGTCTTTTTGCAGAGGTACAAAAATGTGTGAGTTTCCAGATTTGTCCAAATGCAGCTGATGTGAGGAGAACTTCAGCTTTGAGTCATGGTTAGGGTACAAACCCTCAGATACCCCAGAATCGCCCTTCTCCCTCCCCAGAATTAACAGATAAACTCAAATCCAACTCTTCATCTCAGAAAGTCTGTGGCTTTGCTGTTAGACTAGACAAACTGTCGTTGGTAGATGGCTTTTCTGGCACATTCCTTAGTTCTGACCTGTAGCTGCAGGGCTGCACCAGCGTTTTCATATATACGACGTGCTATTCCCCCATTACTTAGGGCCATCTTCTCCAGGAACTTATAACGGACATCAAAACTGAAGCCAAGGCAGAAAAGAGCTTATTTCCCATTGACTGCTTCCTGAAGGTTTTCTTGAATTACTTCCACATTACTCTCTCCTGTAACTGAAACAAAAAAATACCTCTGGGGTTTTGTTTTGTTTGGTTTTGGGGGTTTTTTTTAAAGTACAAAAAGCTAGCAGCATTTAATGGAAATTTCTGCCTAAAAGTATTTTTAAAAGAATTCAGAATAAAATATTAATAATATACGGGACAGAAGTCCATTAATTGATTTGGAGATGAAAGCACCACTCTGCATTTGAAGTGCCAGAACCTGATTCTCCCCCTTAATGACTTTTCCTAACTTCTACTCATGTTGTCATGGCTAAGAGCAAAATATCCTACAAGATTACAGGGCCAGAGGAGGTTTTTAGGACAAAAAGGGACGCACACACACACAATACAAGTTAACAGCACAAGGAGTGGAAACACTTGATCAAGCTTGAGAAGACAAGCACCATCCATAAAAATTATGTCCGTGAATTCAGAGAAGAATGGTTAACGGTGTAATTCAGACAAACTGCAAATTAATTAAGCCGTGCTTCCTCCCAGGCTCTCTGCATGATAAAGGGAAAAGATTTTCACACCATCGTCTTACCCCATTTGAGGAGCTGCTGATGGCTCTGTACTGAGAGCTGCTCTATCAGCACTTCCAGGCAGGAACTGCCGCTGCCTCCTGTACCAATGTCATGGAAGCAGCTCCGTTTGACCCCTTTCAGCCTGCTTTGCCAAGGAAGACAGTGTATGCCACAATTTGCCTGCCACTCCGCCCCAGCCTGATTTCTAGCCTGCTTGTGGGTATGCGATATGCTCGGGGATGTTTGAGACTCTCTGCTGCTGTACTAAGCAGGCAGCACTGTGAGCTGAGTTTTATTAAGCAAAAAAAACCCACAAGCAAATAAAGCAGTGCAGATCACACGACATGAAAGGCAGACTGATCTTATTAGTGGACTTACAGCTGAACTAATATTGCTGGCCTTGGAGAGATGCTGGTGCCACACAAAACTTAGATAAACTGTTCAGAACAAGTGATGCTTGTGCCACTGCATTGGCAGGTACCATTTACTTAACCCAACATTTCTGTCTCAACCCTCTTGTTTGTGTTATCATAGCTGATCACTAGTTAAGAGTTAGACATGGAAAAGATGAAAAAAATAAGAGGAGGGTGCAGAAATACAAGCAATACCTTTCGAATGGGACCATACATAATAAATGCAAAATATCGGTGTTTCAGCTCTAAGCATTTTACTTTCACGTTTCAGCCATGCCTGGAGTATTATATCAAATAATTCCCTTGAGTTTATAAACTGGGAAGCCTACGGTATTTAGCAAAACAACTCCCAGCTAAAGGACACGTAGCTGTGGGCAGGCAGGCTCTGCCATCGCTTTTTACAGCCCTTGCCAGCACCATCTCATCATCACCCTCTCTACAACACAGATCCAGTGACAGCCCAGCCTGTTCATACCAAAGCTCTTCTGAAACAGGCTACGTCTATCAACATCTGGGATGCAAGCGTAAAAGATAAAAATGAAGGAGAGAGAAGACTGATGCTAGTTCTCACTGACCAGAAGTGGGCTGGCCATCTGTCAACAAAATAATCATGGAGACGCTCTCTTCTGGCAGCCTTTCGGCTCTACCCAGCACACTCGTGGCAGTCAGCAGGGCACAACTGATATCTGTGCCCGTAATAAGAAAACAGGCACTCACCTAAACAGGATAACTGTCCAAAGAAATCAGTCCACTTCATCTGCAGGGGCCCTGCAGAATTGTTTAATATTTTCTGCAGGAAGTAATCCTTCAGAGAGATGGGGATTTAGGGGTTTAGCCTGCTGGGATTAATTACATTGTATTGTATGGCAAAGGCAATGCTGGAGTATTCTTTTGGGAGCATTTACCACACTTATGACATGGGAAATACACACATGTCTAAAGCTATTAAAAAGTGCTTAAATAAACACACTCATCTGTTAACTTACATTTAAGAGCCTTACTTGAGAAGTGTGTGACCAATGAAGCAGGGGTCAGTGCTTTGTGATCCATTACCTGCTCAATTTTTCTGCCTGCCATGGAGCCACTTTGATCTATAACAAAGATGATCTTTTTGGGAAACACTGGCATTTCATGGGGTGTAAAGTAATGCACAAGATACCCACTGACAATCTGAAATACAGAATGGGAAATCATGTATAAAATTACACCTGAATAAATAAATACTGCATCTTAATGTTCTGGCATAGCAAGAGGCAGAGTGCATACTCAGCAGTTCTGTCTTCTAGATAAGCCCAAATCAAATAACTATTAAAATGTATTTCCTAGCTGGAAACAAGACTACCTGTAGAAAGCAAATTACAAGAGAACAGCATATATATATATATTTGTAAATATATCTGTCTATAAATATATATACCTTATATGCCTCAGTGCCATACATATGATATATCTGTATCATCACTGTATATTATGTTGCCTCTTTATTACCTCCTATGAGCACATCCCTGCTCATTGACTGTGACTGCCATATCTTTAAGCACATCCATGTGTACTTCATTAGTGAAATGGTATGGAAAATAATGCACGTTATTCCTTAGGATATGTGTTAGCCCATCAATATTTTTAAGTTCCTGCTCTCTAGTTATGCCTCAGTTATCACAAAAAATGAAACCAAGCAGTCGTTTTAATAGTTATATAAATCACATTCCTCTCAACTTCATTTACAAAAAAGTAGTAAAAAACTTTTTCTGTGGACTTTTCTCCTTGGGGTACTCTGAAGCAGCTGCTCTGTCACCCAAAAACATCACCTAAGATTAACTCAAACAAATCAGATGCCCCTTTAAGCGCTTAACCCATGGAAAGAGACCTCAAAACCTCACAGCTTTTTGTGTTACTATTTATTTGTTCTCCCAGATATTGATTTTGCTGCATGTTTTTCAGCTCGGTACCTTGTGCCCCATCCGATGTTTGGCAGGTTTGAAACCCTGCTTGGGCCTCCAGCCTCTCACTGGTTGCACAAGCAGGGATGCCCTTTGAGCGCTTGTGTTTCTCCTGCTCTGGTGCTTCCAGAGCCCCCCACACTCCAGGGAGGAGGGCACCATCCTGGAGCTACCCCGGAACATCCCACAGGGTGGCTGGACTGGGAATGGCTTGGAGCACCCACCTCTGCAAATACCTTTCTTTTTTTTCCTGCCTGTTTTAAAGACCCTACCTGTGCTTCAGCAGTGACACTAAGAGGTGTTGATCTGGACATCATCAGCCTCACGGTAGTCCAACAGTTTCTCAAAACAGAAAAAAAGCTCAGCAGCAGAGCAGATCATTGCACTTCTATTTTTACTCTTCCAGTCTCACAAATCTTTTGACTGACTAATTTATCTTTAGCAATTTTCATCATTAATCTTTACTTTGCTCACCAATTAATAGCATCCACCGGCTTCTTCCTAGTTAGGGCAGTGGCTGAAATGAAAAAGTTTCATCAAGCTGAACTTGGCCATTCAGCACGAAGCTGTGACCAGGCTGGGACTGTTCCTCCTGGGGACATCTTCTCCCAGAGGCTGTCCAAGTATCCCTGCTCGTCTCCGCTCGTGTTTGCTGCCCTGCCACGCTCAAACCTGCCCATGGCGTGTTCAAAGGAGAGGTTTTGCCACAACCCTGGCTCATGGCTCACTGAGGCAGCACAGTCATGTCATGGCCATCACTGGCCTTGTGGCACAGGAGGAACTTGTCCATGCAAAACCCACCCTGCCGCCACATGCCCAAGGGATGCTGTGGAAATGAGGACCTGCATCCCCTGTGCTTGCCCAGCCCCAGCAGCATTTTAGGCTGTGAGCAGCACAAAAGAGCACGCAGCGGGGTGCAGCATGGTGAGGGGCATTGCTGTACCCCTAGTGAAGGAGGCAGGAGATGACTTGATGTGGGCATGTACCTGAAAACAGTGGGGAGCCGCTTGCTGCTACTCCCCAAGGTGCCACATCTACAGCTTCTTACAGAGCCCTCGGCTGCCCCTGCAGCAGCCACAGGACCTGCCCCTGTCTCCCAGAAACCCTGCGTTTCAGCTGCCTTTCACACTTTTCTGAATAGGCATGACGAAAATGAAAACCTTCAAACACAAAGATTCCTCTGTTTCTCTAATACTGATATTTTTAAAATTAGACCAGTCGCATGCACCCCAAGATGTTACAAAACCCAGTTTGCTCCTCCAGACAGTACAGGTAACTGTCTACTCCCCTCCTTTCCATTTCACATAAATTACTAAATGCCTGCCAGGAATTGCCTGGTGCTGCAGCAGTCCTCATTTGGTCCTGCTATAACAGAGCTGTGTCAAGATCCAAACTTCATCCAGAGGCGAAGGGATACCCATTGATCCCTCAAATTTGATTGCTGGGGAAAAAAATCAGACGTCTGCAAATGCTCTCCCACCACATTTACACCGTAACAGCCCAAACAACTGACCAAAAAGGCCTTAAAAAGGACCCAAAGCTCTGAAATCATGACACTAAACACCTGAGGCTCCCCAGGTGGTGGTTACCAGCGGAGTCACCTGCGTTACTTGGCCAGCTACCGCAATACCACCGGGTGGCCAAATGGGCAAACAAGACAGCCTTTTAAAAACCCCAAAAAACAACAAGTAAAGCAAATACTTTTTGAGCAATAGTTTCTGCTAATACTATGAGAGGAAAAGATCATCAATGTGAGCAATGTCCTCTCGTCCGTTTTGGAAAGACCAGATTTTCAAATGAAAAGCCAGTTTAGCTGAGTTAATGAGTAACTTGTATTTGGGGTTATTATGTAGACTTTGAAGAGATCCAGAAACTTAATATTTACATGTTAAACATAGCTAAAACTTGGACTTGCTTGCTGCTTATTTTTCCAACAGATCTTTGCTGTTAAACGTTAGAATCTTAATGTTTCATAACACAAAGTTAAGAAAGTATTAGATTTTCTTTTTAAACTTATATCTCACTGTGGCACATGGAGTCCCACAGGGGATGTGAGTCTGTGCAACAAGCTACATGTTTTGATGCGTGCATCTCTACCATTTCCAACAGTAATAATTTGAAAGAGCACATCCTTGCCATTATCTCAAGCAATTCAGAGATTTGGAGACTCAGCAAAATTCATGTGTGATCTTACAGCTGGTGATTTCTTCAAAGCTTGTGACTCCCTGCTCAACTGGCCCATGAGAGGTACAGAGTAGCCCTCTGGAAACATCCCTTATTGTTTCCTGTGACAAACCGTAGTCCTTGTTTGTCAAATAACAAAGTCATCTGTGGCTTGTCTTTAGCTGAACAGCGAAAAGAAAGTAATCAGACCTTCCCTGGACTCCCTAAGGAGAGAGGTGCTAAGTCAGTGCCTGTACATACACATATATAAGTGCACAAAGAAGCCACAGAGCTCCCAAAAAACAACAGCTGTGCATGGGAGCACATCTGGCCTTGTCCGGCCCTGACGCAGCTGCAACACATCCAGCCAGGGATTCTGCAAAGCTGCCTTTAACCACGTGTGCTGTTTGCACATAGGGTTAGTGCTGGGAGAACTCTGCACCTGAATTTATCTGGAAACTGATGGGGACGACTCTTTTCACCTCCTATTTTATAATGAAATCTTTGT